AGGCTAGGGGAACTCATATTAATGTTAAAAAACCTCATAAAGTGAAATTTTCATGCCATGGGACCTTTAACAAAAAATATAGTAAAAAGAATTTTCTGCATCCATTACTCCAGTCTTCAATGTCACATGATCCTTCAGAAATCATTCTAATATGTCAATCCAGTGCTTTTATAATATTATCAATGTTGAAACTCAAAAAAAATGCTTATAGAAATGGAAAGTCATGGTCAGTGACCTTTAAACATAATGTATAACTACCCAAATGCAGACTATTATATTAGGCAGTTAGCAAATGATTGTTCTAGAAAACAAAAAAGGAAAAAAAAAAACTGAACACCATTAAACATTTGTTCCTTATTTGCTGAAAGATAACAATGTTTTCTCTAATCTCTGTTGTTCTCTTCTGATTACTCTCCCATATTGACTGTTTACTTTGCAGGCGTTTGGTGACAGCATTTGCCATTGTCTACAAAAATACTGCCTGAATTACAGTACGGCCATCCTTTATCTGGACAGCCTGAAGTTCAGGGAGGACTTTGGCTCTTTTGTGAAGGTAACCGTGGAAAGCTTGAATTTACATGGTAAATCAGGGCTTGGTCTCAATACTGACAAGATCTAGGGAACAGGGCAAACATTACCACGCGAGGTTCAGGCCACTGTTAGGTGGTTGTCAGGAACATGGTGACCAGCTCGCTGGTGAAAGAGTGTTGACTCTGCTACTTTCCCTTTCTTTCATCATCAGCTCTCACCGAGTATTGTTCCCTGTTGTGTTCTTAAGCTGTCTCCACATCAGTTTTGCCCTGTCACTTCTAGCTTTTGCACTCAGTTGCACACAAGGGATTTTGTTTGTCAGCTGACTTTTTATTCAAGACAAAATCAGTAGAGTCTCATTAGACACTTAACATTCCAAATCTCCTCCTATCCTTCACTCTTTCTCTCATCCAGTGGTGTGAACGAAACGAGCAGTGCCGCAGGCTGCAGCTGAAGGATCTGCTGGTGGTTCCTCTGCAGAGGTTTACACGGTACCCTCTGCTGTTGAAGAACATAGGGAAAAAGAGTTGCTCGGAGACCGAGGAGAACACCATACAGACCATCGTGGATCTCGTTGACAGAGCCATCTGTAAGTTGGTGGCATTATTGTGACAGATGAAAGTACAGGTGCACTGACATAATTCTAGCCAATACCGATAAGCAGATAATTAATTTCCTGTTATTATAGCTGATAACTTTGGAAGGTTGTTTCTGCCACAGGATGAAAAAAGTATCCCACAAAAAAAAAAATATCCCACAGTTCAAGACTTTTTTACTCACAGTTCTTAGAGAAATAGTCTCAGACACAAACTCACAGTTCTGAAAAAATTCTGAATTGTGAGAATTTCTTTTTATTCCGTGGTGAAAAAATAAAAACAACAACAAAAGTTGCGAGAAGAAAACTCACAATTATGAGTTTAGAGAGATGTAAACTCTCAAATCTCAGAAAAAAATTCCGACTTGTGAGATAAATTTACCTTATTTTTTGTGGCAGAAACAGTTTACATAGATAACTTATAAATGGGCGATATTAAAATTATATGCTGCTGTTTCTCAATAAATTATTTTTAAATGCTACATGTGAATTTAGACATCAAAACATTACATGTACAGTATGAAAATTAATTTTCATTTTGAGAGAACATTTAATAGTGTTATATAATTAAATAATTTGCGCTTTTTAAAGACCAACTTTTAGTGAGCATTATATGATGGAAAAGGTAGACTAATTTTAAAAACAGGCTAAATAAATATCCAATATTGGCCAATATTTGTCCAGGTGGCTCCATAATGAAATTTAAAACAATTAAAAAAACGATCAAGTAAATTTAAACGTCAAAATCTTACATGTACGGTATGAAAATGAATTTTAATTTTGAGATAACATTTAACAGTGTTATTAAATGATTAACACTTTTAAAGACCAACCTTTAGTGAACATTATATGATAGCAAAGGTAGACTAATTGTAAAAATAAGGTAAATAAACATGCAGTGTTGGCCAATATACTGTATGTCTAATTAGCTCCATATTGAAATAAAACAAAATAAAAAATCTCTAGTATCATCTTTGAGTATTTTTTACAATAGTTGGGAAAATTGGTTTTCACTTTCTACAGTTATTGTGACAGATAATCTGTTTCTCTGATGACACTTTGATCTCGTTTGGGTAAAACACTCACGTCAAACCAGGTGACAGGTGACTTTTCCTGTTCTCTGACTGCCATCATAGGGAAGCTGTTTGTGAGGCGTGTAGTGACAGCCACTGTGAGAAACGACACGCAGTGACTCTGTGAAAGACAGAGCTATTTTTGCCTCAGAGATGTGAGCCAAAACAGCTGAAAGAACACCATGTTTTAGTAAGCTATGAAAACGTGACATTTGAATTTACATGTCCAAGCCCAGTTATCTTTGTATGAAGCATTACACAACTTGTCATAAATCCATTATGTGTTTATCAAGTACCCTGTTTTGATAAGGAAGCGAAATTAATATACTATGTTGTTTCATCCATTCCCATTAGCCCTTTCAACTGTGTTGAAACATTTTTGTTTACAATATTTTTATATACATTAAGTTGTTATAAAATATATTTATTAAAAACTTTGTTTTCATAAAATAGTTTTATTAAAATGTACAATTTACTATGAAAAAATAGTAATCGAAAATGCACAATGATGGTAATGATCGTGTATGTTGTGAAACAATATAAAAATGAATATTTTTAAAAATATTATAGTTTTTATAAAATAGTTTATTTGGGTCTTTTTAACAAGAATTTAAAAGAAAATGCTCCATGATGGTAATGACTGTGTTATGTTGTGGTAGTGATACAAGATTTTGCTGAAGACACAAACAACAAAATATTTGTAGTAATATTAAAGGGCAAAATATTTTTTGTTATTTTACAACAAATATCCCAGCAACTGATTCTTTGTGATGGTAATGACATTTTGTATTTTTTATATAGCAAGCTATCTGGCAGTAATTTAACTTTTAACTAAAAATACACTGAAGTTGGCTGTTATGAATTCAATAATATTCTCTACAGTGCTTGAGGTGATGGTAATAATCACACTTGCCGTCCTGTCTTGATTTGTTGACCTGCTCCAGGGCTGATTTATGGCTAGACGGGCTTGAAATGATTAATAGGTTAATCTTCTATACAAAAGCAATTTTCTTCCAGGATGGCAGCAGCTCATTTCAACACACTTTATGACACCGCTCCCATAACCAATATAAGGGTGTGTGTACAACTCTTCTTGGTGACTTTCATGCAATTAAAAAAAGCATATGAAGAGTCGTCAGATGGGTGTGGGGTTCAAACTACGTGATTGTGTCATTGTTGATGAAAGAGCCTGTACTTGGAACGCAGTAGGAAGAATCTACAATTAAATTCAGTTGATTGTCTCCAACTGAACAACCAAAAACAGGATCTGTGGTTTTACAGAAGCAGTAATGTTTGTTTGGGGAGGTGTGGATGAACACGCTAACCTTTCGTGACCAACCGCCTTTGTGTAGGCTGATGATACAATAGAGTTCCCACCCAAATCTCTCTCTCTCTCTCTCTCTGTGTCTCTGTACAGATGATCTTGACGGAAAAGTGAAGTGGTTGGACAACTATCAGAAGGTGAAGCAGCTGAAGGAAGCTCTGGTGTGGCTTCCTGTTTGGGAGCGAGACAAGAGGGCGCATGTTCCTGAGGTTTATGTCAAAATCTGTATCTTCAAGCATGCTATATGTTCATTTTAGTTTGATGTGAACTGCATTTATAGAGATTTCAAGGCTGCGTGTGTCTGATCCTTCACAGAATCTGAAGCACTTGCTAAAAGCTGTAACCCTTGAGAACCTGGTGTCTCATCGTAGTCTTCTGCACGATGGGAAGCTTGTTCTCATAGGTCAGAGAAATAAATCCCTTTTTCTCACTGGTCCATTTATGCTTTTAGGACGGTCATGATGTGTATGCTTACATGATTTTCTTTTGCACACAGAAAATGCAAAGATGCATGAGGTCTACCTGTTTCTATTTGACGAATTCCTTCTAATCACGAAGATCAAGCGAAGCAAAAAGGTGCTGTTATTGATCAGTATTAAGTATGTTTATAAAGATTCAAGGAAAGTGACGATTGTTTGGTGTTATTACTGTGAAAGGCTTAGCAGCCCTGTTGACATAAATCAAAGCATGGGCGACATGTCAGAGCGTGTGGCGGTGATGTGAAAATAGATTTGTTGATTCTGGCTGGGAGTGATTATTGATACTCCCTTTTACACGCTAAGGTTGAATAGAGATCAGTGGATTGTGTCAGATGATAGTACTGTACTGACTACTGTAAATGGAGATTAAAAGTTAAATATAATTATAATATAATTTATATGAATATATTTTATCTTATATGAGATGCTGTTAAATTCACAATAAAAGTTACGTTTGCAAGATAATAATGCTATAAAATGCTGAAAAGTAAACATGAAATAAAAAAGACTCCATATACTTTTTAAATACACTACTATTCTAAAGTTTGGGGTCAGTAAGATTATTCTTATTATTTTTTTTAAATAAAAAACTTTTATTACTTTTTAGTACTTTTATTCAGCAAGGAAACAATAAATTAATCAAAAATGATGGTAACAACATATTCAATTATATTAGATTTACTTTCTATTCAGGTATCCTGGAAAAATGGTCTCCACAAAAATATTAAAGGGGTCCTATTATGCTTAGTCTTGATTTTGTTTTGGGGGTGTACTAGAACAGGCTCTCATACTAGGTTGTTCGAAAAACACATTATTTTTCACATATTTTACATTATTACAACACCTCTCTCCCCAGTCTGGCATGAACGGCTCGAATAGTTCCTGTATCAAATGAAGGCCCGCCTTCTGAAATACGAAATGTGCTGTGATTGGTTAGCTGGGCCAGTGTGTGTTGTGATTGGCAGCACTCGGCGCCTGGTCGGGAAATGTCATGCCCCTTACCATAGCCGCCTGCAAGCTTCAGTGTAAATATTGATTTACAACTCAATTTTGATTTGTCAAAATCAAATCAATTTGAGCGCGATCGTTGCCTTCTCTAGTGCAGCTCAACCAGGTCTCATCCCATTCGTCGATATTTGTGATATCACAAATCCTGGAAAATATGCGTTGTAGTCTAAACGAGTCGTTCGTTGTAGTTTTTGAAAAGTGATTTCTGTTAAACAAAATATCTCCTTTTGAAGTGGACTTTGAGCTTTGTAACTTTGCAGATCTTTTTTATGCTCAAACAGCAACATTACAGACTAACTAAAGTTGAAAAAGTGAAAAAGCATAATAGGACCCCTTTAAGCAGCACAACTGTTTTCAACATTTATAATAAGAAATGTTTCATGAGCACCAAATCAGCATATTAGAATGATTTCCATCAAGGATCATGTGACACTGGAAACTAGAGTCATGGCTGCTGAAAATTCAGCTTTCCCATCACAGGACAAATTACATTTGAAAATATATTAAAATAGAAAACAGTTATTTTAAATTGTAATAATATTTCAGAATATTGGTGTTTTTATGTTGTTGTTTTTTCCCTAAGTAAATGCAGCCTTCATGAATATGAGGCTTTTTTTTAAACCATAAAAAAATCTTACCACCTTAAATGGTTATGTACAGAGTTTTTAAAAATGTCTTTTAATAAAAAAATCAATAAAATATAAACTAAAAAATAAATCATACATGTAATATTTTGGCCTCATCAAACAAAAATATTGTTCGATTTTATTTAACATTAGTTAACATTTCACGTATATTTAAATAATGTAGCATTCAGGTCTGGACTGGAAGGGCCACTTTTCACAATACAATTAATTCTTGGAAATTATGAATCAAAAAGTAAATGGATACAATTCCAATCTCATCCTATATTTAGTATACGTTTAAATATTTTCTTTAATTTGAAAATACAGCACAATACAGAAGTAAAATAGGTTTTCAGTGCTGTTTAAGGTTTACTTTACGCAAAACTTTTAAACAGCTAATATCACAGGCTTGTGTTTTTGTATTGTAGAGGTCTGGCATGGTGGAGTCGAGCCCCCTGCGTTCGGCTGCAGGCCAAGAGCTTGAGCTCTTATTACAGGAGAGCTGTAGCTTCATTGTCCTGGACCAGCCCATCTCTCTGGACCGCCTGCAGTTAAAGAACATAGACCAGCTCAACGCCACAGGTGCCAACAGCACGCACAGACATACCATGACGCACTCTTTGGATTAAGATCATGTTGCAGTTGTTACGTAATTATTTAGTAATCCAGACATTTCCATTGAGGATGGACCAGCCCATGTGTGATCAGCACTGATACAAACACTGAAGTTCTCACTGATGGACTGACATTTTGTATCTGAATGTTTCAGCATCTGGTCTGCCCAATTCCTTCATAATAATGCACCAGAATCGTTACCAGCAGTGCATCGGAGTCTTCATTCTGCAAGCCCAGACTGAATCTGTGAAGGTGAATATTTGATCCTGCTAATGTTTTCTCAAAGGCTTTGATTTCCATCCAACACCCATAATTCAACTTAACCAGTGCTGGCATGTCAAACATCATCAGATTATTCAGTATTAACGTCAATTTGGCATGGCAGATGCTTTCTCTTTCTATTCGTTCTGGAAAAAAATGATGGTTTGGTTTACACAAAAATATTTCAACATTGATAAAAATAAGAAATGTTTCTTGAGCACCAAATCAGCATATTAGAATGATTTCTGAAGGAACATGTGACACTGAAGACTAGAGTAATGATGCTGAAAATTCAGCTTTGCCATTACAGGAATTTAAAATATATATAAACAGTTATTTTAAGTTGTAATAATATTTCTGTATTTTTGCTCCAATAATTGCAGTCTTGTTAAGCATTAGAGACTATTTGAATGGTAGTGTACTTGAATGGGGGAAAAAAAATGAAATCTTAAGTTTGTCAAGGTTACATATAAAAATTGGCAATATAATCTAACAGTGGTATTATAAACGTAGCTTTTAGCTCAAATCACAAAAATGGTCTTGTCAGGCTGTATGTTGTGTATGTTTCAGAAAGCGTGGGTGTCGGAGATTGAGGATGCCACCAATTCTCTGCTGAAGCAGGACTGTCAGCAGCCGCGGGTCAAGAACTCTTTTCTGGAGTCTTCACAGATCTAATTTACACAGAGACTTTCTAGAGAACTTCCCCAAGAGTGCCAATGAACCACAGCAGTGCACAAAGTTCACCCAAAAATGAAAATTCTGTCATCATTTACTCCCCTTCATGTTAATCCAAACATGACAGGCTTTTACGAGAGAATGTCTGTTCGTTTCCATACAGTAAAGTAGGACTGAAGCGGTCAAGCTCTTAAAAGGACTGAAGTCACCATGAAAGTATTCATGTCTTCTGTATGACTCAAATTGTGCAAAACGTCTCTTTTTATGTCCTAGAAAGAAAACCATGAGTGTTTGAAACTTTTTTTTGTTGCTAAAAATGGAAATACATCACCACTGTAACAGTAGTAACACCGAGCAATTTAAAGTTCCACAAAAGGAGCTGCTTTTCAATTTCCTTCTTTTTTTTTTCATTTTTGGATAACTGAATGTTGCACGTTCCTAACGCAAATAAATAATGATGAATTTGTGTCACAGAGAGTGACATTGTGTGTTGTGGGAAAGTTAAATGCTAAGATACAGTAAAGAACCTACTGTATGTGTTGTAATACAGTGTGCAAGTTAGCAAAATTCTAATTTGTATAAATTAAAAATTTCTTTAAAACAATGTTATGCATTACGTTGTTTTGTAAATAATTTACTTGTTTGACCATGAAAAATAAAATATAAAGTTTTTATACATAATGATTAAAGTATTTGATTTAAAAGTATAAACAGGACATCAGTAAAACCAATAAGAGTTCTTGGTCTTTTGAAATGAAGCTGAAATAAAATATAAATGATAGATTAAAAAAAAAGTATATGTTAAAAAAAATAAAAAATGACAAAAGCACACAACAAAATGACTAAAACATCAAATAAAATGAATCCTGATAATATTCAAAATAAAAACTAATTAAAAACCTTAATATTACAGTAGTATATAAATAATACTAAATAACACTGCGGGACCATGAAAGAAAATAGAAACAGCTAGTTTATTATTTACTTTTAAACATGATGAAAAATTAGAAAACATAATACCATTGAACAATTTTTTTTTCCTCAACAAAAAAATCTTGGGTGGTGAAGAAGTTCATCTGTTCTTCATTTGAATCAGGACCGTCAGGCAAACAAACCAATTAACCTGAAATCACCTTCAGTATGTGATATTTTACACTTTTGATTTTTTAACTAATTTAGTATATTCTGATTCTGATTTTTTCATCCATTTCCGATACTGCTTTCACATCACAAATATGTAGAATCCTGCTAAACAAATTAACATGTATCTGATGGGTCTTGCCTGTTAAGACGTGTCTGCATTCAAAAATGCACCAATGTGACAGAAACAAACCTTGATATAAGGCACACAAACACATTACCACAACATGAATGTGAACACCCTGCTATTCAGCACATCAAAAAATATGAATCAATCAATAATAATAATGCATGACAACCATATAACAGATACTGTTGGTGAGTAGTGCTGATCCAAAAACCTACAAGTGATGCACTTTGCATATGCGGTCACAAATTAGCTTTATTTGCAAGCTGCACGACCTATTTTTCTTCAAACACTTTGCTAATAATTACAGCATTGTGATGTCCGATGGAAGGTTTTGACCAGTTATATGGCACTGAGTGGCTTCTATCATACTGTTGTTGACTGCAGCACACATTTCATCCAAAATCAAGTTAAAGGGCTGTTATTCATATACTATTCAATTTTCTGAAATCACGTCACATGACTGAGCTGGTGATGAGCGCAAAACATCCTGAGACACTTTTGATACATCCTGGGATACATATGAATCACTATGCATTATGCTCCTGAATCCATCTACCGACACAAATAGGAAGGAATCAATACCTCAGAATCACACTTACAGCAAACAGTGCCATCGACGCTGCAAGCCGCGTACAATCTATTAAGCAGAGCGAAAACATCAGAACGTGGCTACTGCATAAACCACATACAGTGAAGCATACTTTACAGCAGTTAGTTGCAGTGCACTCGCTCACATTTAGTTCTACGCTAAGCTCTTACAATGACGCTCGCCACACTTTTAGCTTCTAATAAGGGAATAGTTCACCAAAATTTTTTTAATTCTGTCATTTCTCACCCTCATCATTTCAAACCTCCATGATGGGGAGATATTTTGAAAAATGTTGTTTTTTTTGTCTATACAATGGAAGTCAATGGGGTCCAAAACAATCTCATTTGGACCCCATTGACATTCACCGTTTGGACAAAAATAAAATGGAAGTCAATGGGAACTGAAACTGTTTGGTCTTCAACATTCTTCAAAATATCTTCTTTTGTAATCCACAAAACACACAAAGAAAACAAAGCATATAAAATATTTTGAAACATGTCAGTAAATAAATTGTTTGGGTTCCATTTGACTTCCACTGTTTGGACATTTTTGTTTGTTTGCTTGTTTGTTTATCAACATTCTTCAAAATATTTTTTGTGTTTGAAGTATGTTGATAACTAAAACAGTAACAAGACATAAGATGGTATTTTGATATAATGACGGTAAATAAAGTGCTTCGGTTCCTATTGATTTTTGTTTGGTTACCAACATTCTTCAAAATATCTTCTTTTGTGTTCTGCAACACAAAGAAAAAAAAAGACAATATTTTGAGAAATGTTAACTAAAGAGTTTAAGTTCCCAGTGACTTTCATTGTATGGACAAAAATACAAGTTACTGTTTGGTTCTCAACATTCTTCAAAATATGTTCTTTTGTAATCCACAAAACAGAATGTTGGTAACTAAACACACAAACAAGACATATAATAAGATACTCTGAAGAATGTTGGTAAATAGTTTTGGTTCCCATTGACTTTCATTGCATGGATAAACATTTTTAGTTTTTTTTAGTTATCAACTTTCTTCAAAACATCTTCTTTTGTGTTCTGCTAAACAAATAAGGAAAAGAAGACAAATTATATTTAAAAAAAAATAAAAAATGTTGGTAACTAAACAGTTTCAGTTCCTATTGACTTTCATTGTGTGGACAAAAATACAATGGAAGTCACTGTTTGGTTCTCAACATTATTCAAAATATCTACTTTTATATTCTGCAGAAGAAAGTCTGTCATACAGGTTTGGAATGACGAGGGTGAATAATTTTTTTAGGTGAACTACCCCTTTTAGTCTAAAGTGTTGGCTCGCGGCATTGCATTCGCTCAATTGCGTAGATGCCATGAATGAGAGAAACCGCTCAAGTTGAAGAGAAATGTAGCAGCTGATATTTTAAACACAATCAGCGGTCTGTCATTCATTTTCAATATACTATCACACAAACAATCACACCCAATGCACAGTTATTGCTTAAAAGCAGGGCACGTACATCCAACATGTACAAATTGATAAAAGAAAACAAAAAATAAATTTGTGCTCGTAAATCTTTAAAAGAATCACCAACTTCTACTGGTGAGATTATGAATGCAAAACAAAGATCAAGTGTTTCATTTCAACAGACATAAGAGCAGCAAAGCAAGCAAGCATGTACGTTACACCCACATACCTTGCTAACATGCCCACATTGAATGAACAATGATACAGTCTCCACAGAGTGACAGTTATATCTGAATTATTCACATGTGCCTCTTTTGTCTGTACATTTACTTACAAATATGATATATCAAATAAGGACCCTGCGAACAGCTTTGCTTCTACTCCGATTCGCTTCAACCCACGTATCTTAAACTTAAATCTTTTAAAAGACGATATCAATTTAAAACTCAATCCTGAGTGCCAAAGCTGCTGTACTTTAGCACAAAACTTCTGTAAGGAACTGGTTTTTATATTACAAATTATACATCTGCTTAAGCGGTCACTCCCTTTTGATTCCTCTGGGTCTGAAAGTGGCCCCATAAGTGGCAAAGGCACTGGACAGATGAGGACAGCCGTTCTGGCCGGGTTAATTTAGTGTTCCCTCTATCTGATTGGCAGCATCGAGTGATCACCGTGACATGCTGTTCCTCAGTGGTCCCTGCAGTTTCTGCGTCCGCCCTCGGCTGGCCTCTCCTGGTCGCTCATGTTTCCTGGGGAGAGGTCAGGGTGAGCGGGGTGCAGAGGGCTGCAGGGGACGGGGTTAAGAGGGAGGGAGATCAGCCCTGGAGATCCTCATAGCAACTGTCACACACTCGGACAGCCTTCTTGGAGGAGGGTGTCATGGCACTGCGGGCGGAGCACTCCGCACAGAAGATGTTGCCGCAGTGTCGACAGTGGTGCTGGGGGAAAAGAGAGACACAAGGGTCATGATTCAGGTCAGGTGGGTAAAGCCGGGCTCACACTACAGGATTTTTAGCCCGATTTAGCCCCGATTTCCCCCTCCCAAGAATCATAGCAAAAATCTTGCAGAGCACCTCGATCGGTTTCGATGTTCGGCGCGGATTATCTAGTAATGTGAGGCGTTCACCGATCGAATCTTGAACCTCCCGATCTGCTCGCACACAAATCAGGGCTGCCCCGATCATATCAAACATGTTTGATATTTAGGATCTAAATCGGGATGATGACGGCTATATGATTACGTCAGTACTTTCACAATAGCTAATGCGCGACCGCAAAACAGCTGCTGTATGGCTCCGTTGGATAGTGGAGACGGAAGAAACTGCTTCTTGACGTTTTGTAGTAACACGACTGTCTGTATAATGTGTAACATATGTAAACATAATATGTAACATATGTAAACATCATTGAAATATCAGTGATGATCTGCTGCATGACATCATGAGAGGCGCTCCCTCTGCGATGATAATCTTAATAATATCTTGTAGTGTGTGATGCGCCAGGATTTTCAAATCTTGTAGTGAGTGCATGTTTAAGATTTGAGGGAAGATAATATGCAAAGATTCTCCTTATGTGCGTGCTGCAAATAGATTTCATAATCGGTTAGGATTTTAAAACTCCTGTAGTGTGAGCCCGGCTTAAGTTAGGTTAATGAGACACTGATCAAAAATGGAATGGACATGACAAACTTAGATGCTGGGATTTTTAGGGCTGGGTATTGGCACTGAATCGATTCTAAAGATTTGATTCACACTCCCATTTGGTTCATTTGGAGAAATTCTGGTTATTCAGATATTTCTGGCTCAAACTATGGTGTAACATTTGATGTACATTTTGGAAACTTTATTTATACATCTTAAGTGTTTCCATCCATGTACTTTTATGTAAATGCCAAAATGTGAATAAAATTTCCAAAATGTAGCTAAAAATGTCTCACATAAATGACTAGGCAGGATGGGCAGCACACTACAAATAATGAAAA